CAGCTTCCTCCCCTCCTCCTCCGTGCCATGGCGCAGGCACATCAGGACCAACAGCTCCCCGTCCGTCTGTCTCGGGGAGAAGGACTCATCCGCCAATGTGTCCCATAGGACCCTTGGAATGCGGTCCCAAAGACGTGTGTAAGGCGGGCGCAAAAGAAACTTGGTAGAAACCCTAGCCATGAGGAAAAAGGGGGGTTCGAGCCTCCTATCGAACGGCCGGGACCCAACCGCGGCACAATGCATGCATGTTCCAAACGCGCAGAATGCCGAGTGCAGATGGAGCAGGCAGGCCACACGCAACCCGACAGGACCAAAAATCAACCCCCGGAAATCCCCAAAAGCACGGAGGGGGGAGACCAACCAAGCCGGGGATTCCCCAAAACCCCAAGGGGACCTCAGGGAAACCAAGAGTCAGCCGCAGCCACTTTTTCCGATCGTGGCTGATATGGCCCGTCCTTGGGGCAGCCAATGCATGTGGCCTCCTGGTCGAGGCAATCAGGCTGTCGTGGCGTGTTGAACAGGGGGGGAAACAACGGATGAACCCAAAAGGAGACACCCCTTACTCCTCCCCCCACCGGAGACGGGGCCAAAGGCACCCAAGTCCCGGCGGGAAGAGATCACACGACTCCACATCCAAAAGGGCTGTGAGACAAGACCTAGCGGCTCTCACCCTTCAGAATCGCCTCTATTGCCACCGAGTGGATGGCCGCCAGCCCCGACTTCTCCGGGTTGCTCAAAATGACCGACCACAAGGCAGTGGAGACATCCCAGGCCATTCGAGGAGCTGAAGCGCATGCGGGGGGTGCTCGCGTCGCCCAGGACTAGCCGCTCATCCCTGGGAGGCTCCGTCGGCTCCACCCTCTTGTAGAACTCCATCCTGTCACGGATCCACTGATTGTATAGCTGCTCCGGGGGCTCGTCCATCACCAGCTGCAAGCATGTGGCCTTGTCTTTGTGCCACCCCGTGATCTGGAGCAGCCTGGTCCCCCCGCGGCTCGCCCTCCAGAAGCCCTTGCAAAATCTGCACATATAGCCCCCCCGGTGGTCTTGAACTTCTCCTTGCTCACCACTTCCCAGGCGCTGATGCTGGGCAAGACCAAGCCACACTCCACGGAGGCCCAAAACACATGCTTCGTCTCCTTGGGGAAGTGCTTGTTGATGTACTTCCGGCCCGCGACCGCGTGGCCGTGGTGATGGGCGGGTATCGCCTGGTGCCCTGGTCTGGTGTGCGGAGCGTGGTGTCTGCCCCCCCCAGGACCTTGGCCTTGGGGTCCGCCTCCTTGGCCGCTCCTCCCCCGGGGCCAGAGGCACCCAAGGGGGGGGAGCAACCCAGCTGCCGGATGAGGTCCTGGGAGTAACCCAACCTGTCGTACAAGGCCCCCGCCGCCTCCTGCGAAACCTGCTCGACCCAGTCGTGGACCACGTTGCAGCGCCAGTTGAAGGCCCGCCACCAACTTGGTGTAGACCGAGTCGAAGGCCTTCAGCGATGCCAGCGGGAGGGTGATCCGCTCGTCGCAGACCGCCCTGAAACGCAGCGCCTCCTTACTGTCATGGATGGGGGCCACTGGGATCTCCATCACGGGCAATGGGCAGTTGACGATGAAATTCTTGGCCGCAAAAAATGTCCCCATCTCCTTGAAGATGTAGCTCCATTCCTCCTTGCTGCGCGGCTTGGGGATGCCCAGGCTCTCCAGGAAGGGCACCGCCTCCTTCCTCATCTGGAGGATGTTGCCCATCCACTTGTCCGAGGTCGAGCCCTTGCGGCCCCGGCGTTGCGTCTTCACGATCAACGGGAAAGTGGTCCAGGCCAAGTAGATGTACTTGAAAGTGAACCTGTGGGCGTACACCCCCGTCAGGCTCGGCAGGTCCCACGCCCCATCACCTTTCGCCCACAAGATCCCACCACCTGCTCCGGCGCCGGGCGCTCGCCCCGGTTCACCTGCGCTCAGATCTCCAAGGCCGTGTAGATGACTGGGTCGATGTGGTCCTGCTCGCACGTGAGTGGGTGAGTCCTGCGCTCCAGGGCCAGGAGCTCCTCCGGCGTGAGCTTGAACTGCTGGTTAGCGCCCCGGGGGATCTCACTCACCGCTTGCGTGCTTCTTCCAAATCCCCCCAAACATCCGGAGCTCTCCCTGGTGCCTCTTCATCGCCCAGAGGATCAAGGACAGCTTGCCCTCCTCCGAGTCCAGGTCTTGCTGTGACATTGGCTGGTCCCCCCCGGAGTCCAGGTCTTGCTGTGACATTGGCTGGTCTTCCCCGGGCCGCACCCTTGGGCTGCGACGCTCTGAGCATCCTGATGTAGGGGACATACTTCTCCTTGATGTCTCCCACCTGGGGGATGTCCTCGGGGTCATCCAGCTCCAGGGGGCAGAATCTGAGATCATCCGGCCATGCCGACACTTCCAAGGGCTTGAGAGTGTGGTTGAGCATCCATGCCTGGTTGGTGTCCTGCTGCGCTTGTTCGCCGCCTGAGCCTCCTGAATGGAGCCCATCGCCTCAACCAATGCCTGGCTGGCGTCAACGCCCTTCCCCTCCAGGTACTGGTCTCTCAGCTTGGCCTTGAACCGCTCCAGGTTGACCTTCCTGAGGACGGACTCCCTCATTGGCCACCTCCTCTGACGGCAGGGCCTGCATGCAGAGAGGCGCCAGGATAGCCATCTCATTGTCCAGCATCTCCTCAGTGACCAACTCCTTGTGCCGCCGCCTGGCCGAGGACTCCTCCGGGGTCGGTTCCCGATGCTCCCTCAAGGCCTTATGCAGCTCCTCCTTCTTCCGGATCGCCTGGTCCACCTGGGGGTGGTAGAGCTGGAAGCTCTGAGCCTCCGCCTCCTTCAGGGACCGCTGCACTTTGACCTTGATCTCCTGGCATTCCCGGACCTTCAACGCCTCGTCGTCCGCCTCCATGGGCAGTCTCCTGCCGGATGTCCACCCGCCTGTTAAGCGGGACCGCGTCTGCCATGGTGATCTCCTCTGCCGTGTCCGTTTTCGGAGGAGCTCTCCCCAGGACCGTGCCGTCCACCAAGTTGCGGTCGGCCTGTGCCCGGGTACCACCGGGGCCAGCGGCACCCAGGCTTCCCCCTTCCCGCTGCTGAATCCAGGTCGGCTTGCCCTCCACGATGAGCAGGTTGTAGGTGATGCCGTCCGCCTCATAGGTGGCCGAGGGTGCCTGGAAGGGGACGAACTCCTTGCCTGGGCAGACCCAGCACTGCTTGGCTGCCTCTGGCCACCCCGTGCCGCATGCCTTGCACATGAACTTGTAATCGGAATGGCCTGCATCGAGCCTGTGCATTCGCTGGGTGCCAATGCACGCCTTGTTCCTCTGGAACTGCGAGGCCCAGACCTCCTCCTGCCGGATCTGGATCTTCATCGGGACATAAGCCTCCAGGATACGAATCACCAGGTCCTCCGTGAGATTCTTCCCGACAAACTTGTGGAACAGGGAGACCGCCTCCTCCACCGTGACGTCCCTCAGCAAAGTGGCCGCCGATGCCGGAAGGACCGGGAAGAGGTCTGGGAGGTCCACCAGCTTGAAGTAACCGGGTCGGCCCTCAACCGGCACCAAGGAGACCGGTTTGTTCACATGAGCCGTGGTCTTCTGGGAAGCCGCCACGAAACCCCTCAGCCTCTTCGTGGGTGGCGTCTGTGCCTCCTCCGGTGGCGTGGCCCGCTCCGTGACGTCCGCGTCTTCCATGTCCTTGTCATCCTCCTCGGCGGGGCCACCCAAGCCGGAAGTCGGTGTGGCAAATGCCACACGGAGACGCTCCAGTGCACTGGAGAGGTCCTTCATCACATCGGTAGCCGAAGCCGACGGGGGGGCCTCGGGCTCGTCCAAAACCAGGCCGGCCGCCACTGCCGCCTCGCGTGTGCGAATTTCCTGGGCCTCCTGGTTGGCCATTTCAACCTCCTCCACGGTGAGTGTCTGGTCCTCAATCAGCTCAAAGGAGGTGGCCGAGGTTGCCGAGGAAGCCATTGCTTGATCGGGGTTAGGTTCGAAAGTGTCAAAGCTCAAATTTTTCACACAAATTGGGTTCCAGGAACCCAGGGCAATGCTTGAGCCAAAATGGCACATGCCATTATGGTCAAGCATTTCAAACACAGTTCATGTTTCCACATGCGTTTCAACATTAACAAATTACCTAGGGGATTTATGTCCACCACTCATGAGGGAGTTCCCCAGGGGCAAGCACCACAGTGGCGGGTTTAATGCTTGTGTTCCCGTACTGGCCACTGGGGTGGCTCCGATTTCATAAGGACCCCCCCCCACCAAATTGGCGAATCCACTTTGCATTCTGATAGTTGCAACTTGACGGACCATTCCAGCCTGCTTACCCAGCTAATCAAAACCAAACCCAGTGTCGGACCACCTTTGGTTTTAAACAGGGAACTTTGAACTCCTGTGACTCCCTGAAAAGTGGACACGCCAATGGCCCTTGGTGGGCACATCCATGGTCCGCATCCATGCCTCGCTGAACCAAGCGGATGTTAGTGAGCCAGGAACCTTCCATGAAATTATGTGCGTCTGGCCGGACCCGCCACAAAACCGACTGAAGTTGGTGATCGACTATGAAGTCTGGAGAAATCCTGTTTCGCCACTTGCGACTTAGACACACTCGTATCAAACAGCTTGGGTAAGAGGCGGGCATGGTTGCCACCCATTGTAATTGCCGTTGTGACAAGTTCGAGCAGAGCATATCACAGTGCGTTGTGGCAAGATTGGAGCAATCGGATTCTTGTTCTATTTAGTCGTCACTGTTATTTGACATCGCCGGCCCAGGTTTCTTGCCACCCGCATGCGTCCCTTGCCCAAAGCAGCACGTCATGTTCGGAAGTTCCCCTGGCCATGGGTCAAAAGCCCGTACCCCCAGTGAACATCCCAATCCCAACTAAAATAGGTTCTAAAATGGGTGGTGAATTCCCCTACCCACCAAATGGGATCCCAAAAAGGTTTTGACAACCACAGCCACCTGGCCCTTCCCGGTTTTATTTTTCGTGCGAGCGGCATCCATCCGGAACTGCATCGACTCCGTTGCGAAGGCGGAGGGTAGCTCGCTCAGCGCCGCGATGCTGGGGTTCAAGGACCGCAGGTGCAACCTACGGGGCCGCAGCCCATGGGGGGATCCGGATCACTGGAACACCGCTCTAATCTGGGTGGAGAAAAAACAGCTGGGGCATCAACAAGTGAACCCTCAAAAGCGAGCTGGTTAAGGACATCTCAAGCCCCCTTGGCTCGGGCTAGCTGTGGTCCAATGAAAAATCCGAACTGTTTCAACCAGCAATTAAAGTCCAACTATCCGTTCCCAAATTTCCATAAAACACGAAAGCACGATTCCCAACCAGCGGGCCATCACAGTGACGTGTTGCTGCATCCCAAAACAATCTGCCGTTGGATTGCGCCAAACACTCCTTGGTCTTTCGTTCCACCAAAGCCTTATTCATTCTGACCCCAAGTGAAACGATAAGTAGAAACGGTCACGATAGGCAGGGCTTGGGGCGCCCAATCGTTTCACACCTGCACAATAACATATGCGCCATGGTCAAAGGTGATAGTTCCGTTTACATTGGTTGTCCAAAAAGTGCGTGGCCTACCAACCAAGTAAAGGGGCCTGGTGATGACGGCAAATATTGATGCACCGCTGTGGGATGTGACTGTCCTTTTTATGTGCGTTGCTACTGACTTCCATCTTAGCCTAACAAAGCCTTACGAAGCTTAACGAGAAGGCAACACACCAGAACACTTCTTATCACTGCTTTGTCCAGTGACTCCATCATGGGAAAGAGCAACACTTCTTGATCGGAAAGGACCACCCTTTGCCCAACTCAAAAGCCAAAACAGACAAGGTGCTATTGCGCAACTGGGAACACAACAAATGAGATTGGCCATAAAGATAGGTGATGGCTTCACATGGATCGATATCCTACAGTCGATATGTCTGCTTCCTCATGATAATTTAGACGCACAAAGCAAAACAGAGTCATTCGCTCACTTTCCACCCAGTAAAAACAAATGTAACTCAAACCACAAGTATCTAGTGCATGGTGAAGGTTGTGTGTGGACGCTGTCTCGGCTTGTTTGACAAGGCTACGCACGTGGATCAAACCTTGGAGGGCATCCCGCCCCGCCGCTTGTTTCTGGAAACAACCCAGTAATAAGCCAGGTTGATCAATCCAAGGTCCACATCGCAACCAACACCCCGGGGAACCCCAACGGGAAACACCCGGTTGAGCACCCCTGCCGCTTTTTTGAAACCTGCCACGTTCAAGGTAAACCTGGAAAACCTGGAATGCAACCAGCGGTAAACAAACATCTGGCGTGGTTGTGTGTGTGTGTGTTTGCTTTTGAGGGTACCCATTTTTTTTCTGGTTGGCTTAAAGGGAAACCAAGAGCAACACCAAGCATTTCGGTGCTCCATGTCCACAAACCCCGCTCGGATTTCTTCGGGCGGCGATGCCATGGAGGCGCCGTGCTGCATGAGCGCCACGGACTTCACGAGTCCTGCCGTGGGGTGGGTGACCTCCAGGTCTGAGGGAGTTGGCCCCTCGACTTGGACCAGGCAAAACCCGAAGGGACACCTCCATTTGCAACCCGTCGCTTTGACAGAAATTGCCACTTCCTCACTTCGAACAGTCTGGGGATCATCCCTTTGTTGACTTGAGGAAATCAACTTCCAAGTGACTGGTACACGCCTTTTGTCCGAGCATGTGGAGCCCGCAGTAAAGCCCAGCTGCTCTGCTATCACACTTCCATTGCAGCAGCAGAGGGCATTCTGCTGCCCAACCACACTCCACAATTATTTTTGAAAGGGGGATCCTCTAACATGGCAACATGAAGTCACAGTTATTCATCCGTCCAAAAAGGGAACAGGTGGGTTAAAAAAAACACCTCCGTGTGCCAGGAATCCCAAGATGCATCATGGTGGGCATGACCTGAAAGGGGCTCGCTGGACAACTTATTCCATGGCAGGGTAAAGGCAGCCAACTGAAACGCTCGCCTCTTTTGGCACCCTGCCTTCCCTTTTACAGATTCCCATTGAAGGCTGTACGACAAATGTGAACCGTTTTTTGGGCCCCAGTGGAGGGGTGGGCAATTCTAATCCGTGGTCCACGTTGGAAAGAATACAAAGCCGACCTCTTTGTTCGTCCTCCCCCCAAGGTAAGACTTCAGGATTGCTCTGCAACCGGCCGGAATCAAAATCACGGCCATTGTCAGACTCTTGAACGAAAGGCACCTAGCCATTTGGGCACCTTGTGACCAACCGAAAAGGAGCCCATTCCAAGGTGTGTCCTCTTTCTGGGTACAGGAAACCACCGGGAAAGTCCAAGGCTCCGCAAATTCACCATGGACTGACACTCCATGCGAGGGAACCGTTTGTCGGTTTGAAAGTAAAAGAAAGCAAACAAAAACACAAAACAGCTTTTCTTTCCCCTTCCCCTTCTTTCCCTCTGGAGCCCCCCTATCTTAATTTAGTGGTTCGTTGATCCGCTAGAAGTCAGACTACAAAACAATCAACGCAAACACAACTATCTTTCCCCTTCCCCTTCTTTCCCTCTGGAGCCCCCCCTATCTTAATTTAGTGGTTCGTTGATCCGCCAGAAGTCAGACTTTCTGTGGGATATATCATACCCCTCCCCAAGCACTAGAAATCCAAGAGTATGAGGGTGTGGTTGGGACACCCCCCCCTCCCAAGCAAAAATCCAACAGGCTCGGGCACCAAGTTACGCCCTCCGCAAGCTGCGGTCTCTCCTGTGGACGCGGCCGGCCCTTCCAGGTGCCCCACGTTGGACTTCACGGCCGCGAGGATCAGCGGCTTCTCCTGGCTCCTGAGCTCAGAGCCCTTGGCTCCGGGGCGAAAACGTGGCAGCCCGTGGTCATGGCGACACCAGGGTGCACTTGAGTTCAAAGGGACCCCACCTCCAGGCATTTTTTGTGGGTTCCCAAGTCGTTGATTCTCCTAGCGCTCAAAAGTCCAGTCCGGTCTCCCTCACTTGCGAGCAAAGGTCTTCGCGAGACCTTGGTTATACCTCTATATATATATATACATATTTACATATATGTTTATACACATGGTTTTCCCAACACGGGTTGTAAAAACCAAGCCTTGATAAGCCTTGGCTTCTCCCAACGTGCGTCAAACCAAGAGGCCCAGCTTGGCCTTCAAATATGCGCCCATTTGCCCAAGCTCTGGTTCCTTTTGGAAGTCCTCAAGATAAGCCGGTCAAACACGAAAGTTGGACCCCCTTTGGCTCCTTGGCTTTGGGACAAGCGGACCACAGCCTTTTGAAAGCAAGCCAGCTCTTGATGCAGAAAAAAACCTAGGCTGCCGTGGTCACCCTCCCAATCGTTGGAAGGTTCAGAAAGGTTCATGTGACACATGTGGTGGTGTCGAACAAAAACACGGATCACCACAAACCTCATTTTCGGAGGAACATTCTTTCGGATTTTGCGGGATCCCTTAGGGTTCCGGTCTATTTTGCCGCACGAGACATACCGCGGAGTGCCCCCGTCCTTGTCGCGTTGAGTGACCGCAAGCCACCAATCTCGATAGGATCTCCCAAAGGCGTGCCGGTTCCATGGCACTCCTTAGCTTCATGCTGTTGCCGTCCGCCAAAGTGATTCTGAGCGAAGAGACAAAGAGACAGAGAGACATAGAGACATCTACATATCATATAATATAGAGATGGAGAGATAGAGAGAGCAACTCTGGATTGATAACGAGTTTGCCCACAAGACTCATATTCAGCATCATAGGCTCGTCTGCGGATGGTCTAGCATATGGTATTGATGCTGCTTGCCAATGGCATTCTTGTGCGATGGAGGTTGTCTCCAATTGGGCAAATCACTCAAAGGTTGTACCACATCACTGGAACATGCCCCTCAAGGATAAGGGCAACACATTTCACCCCAATTCGTATGTGGTACCTGACTGGAAAGGACCTTGTCCCCCCCCCAAAAAAAAAATACGGGGAAGGCCCAGAGGTTGTGCCAGACCCCTGGAACATACCCCTCAAGGATCAGCCAAATCTGGTGCTCAGACTCCAAAAACCCCTGGGAACGCCCCGCTCAGGTCGGCCAAGATGCCATGTGCAGCACCTCCTCTGGCGCCAGCTTGGCCTCGGCCAACGCCACCATCATCACCAGGTGCTGCGAGGGGCCGTTGGGCGCCGTCAAGGTGGAGCTGCGTCCGTCCTTCGGCGCAAAGGCTCCAAACAAACACATCGGCCCCAAAAACGAGGGGGAAAACGGCCCAAGAACGACCCACCGAAAAAACAACGACCCCCAAAACCTTGGACATGGCCTCAAGGTTTCCCTATGTCTTAAACCAAAATTGGGGGAACATGGGATATTGCACCAACATGTTTGAGGATGGTTTACGGGTCCAGGTGGCTGTCCGAGGTAAGGGATTTGTCCTATTCGTTGGTGCGGTGTTGTGGGAAATGGTTGCCTCTTTCTGTGACTCCCAAAGTGTCGTTGTGAGCTCGTATGACAAGCGAAGCTCTGGAATACCCTTCGGTTTTTCAAAACCAATCTCCACAAGTAACCCGCCAGTGACATGAGTATATAGCTGATATATATATATATATAAACCTGCAATCAACCTGCAACAAGGCTAGCCCCACTAAAAACAGAAGGCATTGTCCGTTGCTCACCTGCAATATGTCAGTCAAAGTGGCCGAATCCAACTTCCACGTTTTGGTCATGGTGTTGCAAGCTCACATATGAAAGGTTGCCCAAATCAATATATGTCCATTTCCCCATACCAAAAGGTCACTTTCTTGTTACCTATGATCAAAGGTACACTAGCTGTACTGTGAAAGGGAGACACCTTCTTCCCTTTCCGTCCCAAATCTCTTGACTTCCGTGCCTGGTTCACAGCCACACCCAGCAGCCCGCAGCGCTCCAACGTCGCCGCCGGCGTGTCCGCCGTGGCTGCCGCACTCTGCGCCTCGGCCACTGTGTTTGAACTGGTCGCTTCTCCCCAGACCACGTTGTCCTTTGAAGTCCCGTTCAAAGCGCAAAAAATCTCGGCACCCTCGGAGAAAGCTACCCAGATGCTTACGTTGGTCTGTCTTTCTGCGATCCAACATTCAACCACGTTGTTGTGGAAAATGTTTGCCCTTTTCTCCAGCGATCTTGGTAGAGCTAGACTTGGCACCAATCCCCTTGTCTGGTTGGTCATTTGGCCAGAAAAAAAGGAATTAGGTGCAAAAAACAACAATGCCTAATGGGAAATATCCCCCCAAATGATTGCCGGCCATAAATTCCCATGTAAATGGTACTCACCGAAGGGTCCAACCAATGAAACAGAAAACCCAATCAACAATCATACCCAACTTTAGACGAACACGAGAACTTCGACCAGCTCAAACTGATTCTGCAGCTGGGCATGTTCCTTAAGGCTTTTTTGGGATTGTCTTTGCGAGTCCATAGCTCAAAGAACAGCTCCATCTCCCAGGTTCAGATTTCCTGCATTCTTTGCCTAATCAAGCTGGCTTGAAATTTTCGGGGGGGAAAAAGAAGCTCATATACTTTACCTAGATTTAGAGGGCCACCAAGAGGAAACCAGAACACCCACTCAAATCTGCGGTCCCCTGGTTTGATTTTGACCCACACCCATATCACCCCCATCCCCCGGTGTTTTGGCTCGACGCCTCCGACGGCCTCCGGAGCACCACCGCCCCGCAGCCCTCGCCCCGGGCGTAGCCGTCGGCGGAGGCGTCGAAGGTGAAGCAGCGGCCCTGGGCGCTGAGCATGCGGGGCTTGCTGAAGCTGATGTACCTCCGCCAAGCCAAAGGCTCAAAGAAGAAAGCGGGGGATGCCTTGCGAAATGGGGGGGGGGGGGAGGGAAAAATGCCACAAAGGATAATTACCCTTGAGGGGACGTTGACCTCAGCCAACGGGTGCCAAAAGAAGCCGGGGGATGCTGGGGGGATGCGGGGGGGGGGGGGAAGGTGCCAAAACGGATACTATTTTAGAGGAGACGGTCTAAAGGTGGTGCTTTTTTGTTTTGTGTTGCGGGCATCCCGGCCAAAAAGGAGGGTGCCAAAAAAAGGAGGGGGGGGGGTTGAGGGCATCCCAGAAACTTGGCCTGGAATACAGAGAAAAAACATATTATAGGTTCTGAGTCTGTTCCAAATTTGGTCCAGCGGCTGGTGCTCCTGCACTGCCACCAGAATGGTCCCGATCCCAGGCGGGTGTTTCGCAACCAACTTGGTGACTTTGGCTCCCAGAAACAAGTCTAACTTTTTGTTGGTAGGGCCAACAGGCAAGAGGGTGTGTCCGCTGAGGGTATCCTTGACAGAGGAATTAAAAGGAAACCACCAATTTTTCAGGGGTCCACGGCGAGACAAATTCCAATGAGCAAAAAAGGAGGTTCAGAAAGGGTAAGCAGTAAGCAGGGCTCATGCACTGAAGAGGCAAAGGCACACACACTTGCCAGGCGAGGAAAGATCGGCTTCGGCACCCCCAGGGCCCTTTGACGAATCAAGGAGACCCATGAGGCCAAGGGCACCCGGAATGGGAAAATCCAACTGTGCGGGTCCAAACAGAATCTGAGACATGCAGCTGAATCATAGCCTGCCATCACTTCAACCCATGCCTATGTTGCCTCTGTCTCAGGGCGTCACCAAGCAAAGTTGGCAAAACGGGCGTCCAGCCAGGGGTGTTTGCCTTTGTCACCTTCCAATGGCAATCGCGTTTAGAGGCCCTTTCGAGGAGGTCGTTGATATAGCTCTTGCTCTGTTCTGCCGAACTGACCGTTGATTGGCCAGAACAAGATCAATCTTTTGGGGGGACGAAACATGAAGAAAGTGCAACGACATGTCTGAATTTTGCCAACTCAACAGATATGGCACAATTCCCTTGTCACTAAGTAAAGGGGATGAGAAACCGGGCTGTTCCATCCACTTCCACCCAACTCAAAGGCCTTTATCACCTTTGCATACGTCCAGTGCCAGTTGGAATACGTGCCGCCCATCCCCAACCAACTACTTTGTCATTCCTTCAAGGGTTCCTTTGGCCAATGACAGCGGCCAACTCAAGGTTTCCCAGACCAGCCATGGGAAGGGAAGGGCACACGTGTTTTGGTGTTTCAGAGGAAACCCTCCTTTTCCATCAGGAACAAACACGCGCCAACAAAAAACACACCAACAAAACGCGCCAATAAAAAGGCAGGAACAAGCCGATAAACAAAACCACCATGCGCCGGAAGCCTGGGTCTTTCTCCCACAACGCGTGCCACCGCCCAAGGCGCGTGGTGGGGGAGGCCATGACGTTGGCCGCCGTGTTCAGGGCGCTGGAGGCCCGGCCTTTTCGCAGCGCCGTGGCGGAGCAGTCCAGAGCCACCAAAGCCTGCGATGCGGACGTCGGACGGATGGTGGGAGACATGCGGGGAAACACCTCTGGAAACAGGGAACATGGGCGAAAGCTTGTGCTTGCTTGACCATTGAGAATATGTTGGACATCTACCTATCTACCTCTTGTTTGTGGGAAATCACTGAGGATGGTTGACTCTTTTTGCCGGGGATCCCCGGAAAAAGAAACTAGAAGGGATGGTTCCATTACCTCATTCCCCGCTGAGAAGAAGCAAGGCTTCCCGGTGCGGTTTGCTTTGACTTACCTAGGGGCTTCCAAATAGTAAATTGGGGCATCTTAGGGTTTATGTTGGAGTGGAAGGAGGGAAACATAAGGACACCAAAAGGAGCCCCTGTTGTGGAGGTTGGGTCTGTCTCAAACTATTTCCCTTTAAACCACTCAAAAAGGGGTTCAGGCCCACAAACCACCAACCCAGACCACCACCGTGTTGTCTGACATTCCTGTCCTAGAGAAGGCAGCCACCCGAATGGCCAGGGGCACCCGCTGATTTCTATGCCTGTCCTGTGCAGGTGAGCCAAACGCCTGGCTGATCCAACGGATGTTTGCATATTTGCATACGAAAACACAAACACACACACACACACAGACAGAGTTGCCTCTGTGCTGCATTGATATGGGTGTATGTGTGCATGGATGTACGCATGCACGTATTCATGGATGTATGCATGTATCGATATAAGGATGCATGGATGTACGCATGCACGTATTCATGGATGTATGCATGTATCGATATAAGGATGCATGGATGGATGTGTGCATGGATGGATGTATGGATGTATGAATATGGTGTGGAAGTATAGATATGGACATATTTGGATGTATGTATGGAGGTATGGGTGTGTGTGTGTGTGTGAATGTATCGAGGTCTTGCCCTTACAAAACGATACACACATTTTCTTTCTGAACTGGGTGCGTCTTCTTGAGGAATCTCCTGTGGTTGGTTTCAAACGGGAACAAAAAAGGATTTTGCCATGAGACATACCCAAATGGCGCGCAGGCAGAAGAGGATCCGACAAATGCGGTTTGCCTGAGCGTTCCACTGACTGCTTTTTCCACCACTTCCAGATTCATAATTCATAACTGCCTGGGAAAAGGGCAAACGACCAATTGGGCAAGGGTCAGCTGTCAAGGCTTCCAACGCGGAAAGCTGTTGGGGTTTGCTAGGCCCCCAATCAATCATGTTTACGGTTTCCAATGTCCAAATAGAGAGTCTGTGGATGTCCAAACTGGCCAAAAGCGACATCTACTCAACTTCAAGGTCGCAATCCAACATTTGCCGATCAGTTCTATGCTTCAAGGTTCCAGTGGGGACAAAGCAAGATGACAAGTCAAGTCCCTTCAGCCAAACTCAACATGGGGCATGCAAAAAGGGCACCTCCACGCATTATACAAACTGTGGATGGACAGAATCCTGCACCACCATCCTACGAATACTGGGAGAAACCACCTTCAAAATGGTGCAGGATTTTGTGCATCCACAGTAGTAGAGGGCTGTGGGTGCTGCCGAAAAACCGCACTGAGTCAAAACCGCTAGAGGCTAGAATAAGGGTACCCTTTTTTCGGTAGTCTATTTTAGTGGGGGAACCCTCCCCCAAAAAAGGGTAAAAGGGCACTACTGGGGGACCTAGACTAGTACCGGGTTAGCCCCGTCTAAGCCCAGCCACGGAGGAGCAGGCCGTATCCACGATGTAGCTGGGCCCCTTCAGGCCCAAGGCATAGGAGATACGCCCCGCAGACACCGAGAAGGACATGCCTGGCTCAGGCAACATGTCATGAAACTCGCTGCTGGTTCGCATATAGATCTACAGATGTATATATATATATACACATAATATATGTATATATATATATATACACTAGGTCCTCCAAATAAGGGTACCCTTTTTTCTGTAGTCTATTCTAGTAGGGGAACCCTCCCCCAAAAAAAGGGTAAAAGGGCACTACTGGGGGACCTAGTATATATATATATATATATACCCTCACTCCCAAATGATCTTCCAGGTACCCTATGTTAGTGGAAGGGAGGGTATATATAACATATTAGGGAGGTTGATGAAAAGGTCCGGGAAACATGGGACTAGGTAAAACCACCAAAGCTTCTTCGATACCTCCCGCCAGCTGGGAACAGTTACCCATGGTCAGTTCGGGGGCCAGGAATAAAGATCGACCCCCCATATACAACTTTTAGGGAATCACTCGCACTACGTCCGCGCCAAGCATGATTGAATGCATTGCCGTGTTCGGTCGCTTTCATTTGGCTAGACGCGGTACTCATGGCTCTGTCGCCAAACACATGCAGCACTCCGACACGAAAGCTACACCTGCTTTGCTGGATTTCCACGGGAAAAAAAGAATCGGCATCCCTTTTTGGTTGGTTGAGCTTAAAGGGCAACCCTTCCCAAAAGAAGGAGCAAAAGACGACATCCACTGGGCAACTGGGGAACTCTCAATCGGAAATCCAGGTGAAGAGTAGATCCACTTTGGACTTTCAACCTGGAGTGAGAAATCTGAAATCCAAAGGAAGGAAAGAACCATATGGGATGAATGAGAATGACACAACATCGTTCACCCACCCAACAAATGGGGCGGGGGTTTCGACAACCCGAAACTGATGTGTTGTGCCAGCGCCAAGCTGGCCATGACTTCACAACCGACTGCATGCTAGGTGCATCTTCTTCGGGGTTCCCAAAGAGCCATCCACACAGATACTGAGGATGGACAAATCCACAACCAGTTGGAAGGTGGTTTATCCCAGTATCCATAGAAATTCACGCAGCACGTGGTCCATCGACTGTAGCATAAGCCATTTGAAACACTTCACATTGACTTGTGTTGCTTGGCTATTTTGCGATAATTCTGGAACCCTGCACTGATTGAAATGTACAATCAAAACACCAATCGCAAAGTTTCCTTCATTGAGGATCGTTCTAACCCCGGTCGGCAAGCTCGCCATTTGAGCACGTGCAGATGCGTATGCATGTATCGGGGTGAACGATTCACCAGCCTGAAATCAGGGAAACCAAGAGAATAACTACCTGGGTAAGGTTGCGACTTCCTGAGGGTGCTGTAGTTTCCCCTTTACTTCTCAGAACTGCAGTGGCATGAAGGAGAAGGGAGAAGGGAATGCATTTTCAGTTGCTGATGTTAAGACCCCGCTCCAAGGGAACAGAAAGACGGGGCCTGTGGCCGTGTAGGGGCTGATCTTGCGGAAATCCCAGCTCTGCATCTGGATCCAGTCGTTGTTGGCCAAGCCCACATGCACCGAGACCTGCACAAGTTTGAGCAGGCACACAAACACACAGGCACTGATACACAAACGACACAGACAAAACACAAACGACACTTTCATCCCAGGTGTATGCTCCACAGCTTGCCTCTAGGAAAGGGGTCGGCCAGCGAAGCGGCATCGCAGTGTCACAGGGTTGCCGATCCCCGTGAAGCAAACTGCACCTATACACTGTTCGCTTCGGGTTCACCCCATCCAACAGAAGCAGATGTACGCCCACTTAGGTTGAGGGAACCGTAAGTCCTCCGGATTGATCCCACGTTGAGGGCGCGTATCCATAAACGCAAGCCGTTGTTTTGGGCACCTGTAACATAATGACATGGCACCCGCCTGCTGCAACCACACGCATAAACGCGGCGCTATCTTTGTGGCTGACCCATCTAGTCACCAAGTCTTGACCAGGCTTAGACCATAAAAAACTTACACAAATTGAGAGAACGCGTTTTGCTGGTCAATGGGCTGTCAATGGGAGCCTGATCGAAACAAAAACAACAACATCGTTTGCCAGTCAATGGGAGAAAGGGCAAGCGCATCATGAACAACACCTTCAATGTTGCCCTGATTTTGTTTGTGGCTCGAGCAGGGTTGCCAAACGCTCAGAAATAAATCGATGCGCGTTTTTAAGGTGTCGTCTTGGCAAACGATGAACTCCACTGGTACATGAAAAGGAACCAAACTGAAACCAGCGGGCTCCATCTATTTCTAACCAAACTGTCCCAAGAGGACATCTATGCTACTTAGAAGATGGGTTCCCAAACTGACCGCATGACCGCGTGGCACGAAAACAAAGGCAAACCGTCCAGGATTCCGGCCTCGCTACCCATGAGGCTGCTCTTCCTTGGAACCGACATGCACATGTCAGAAGTCGAAACCGCATATCCACCTGGAAAAACCCTCCCTCCAATCATGCAAGTGGACAACCTTCCCCAAAAGGAAGGTAGTCTTCCATCGTCAGCTCCATGATTGTTGGAGGGTAAATTCTTGACTCTTGCTCTCTCTCGGGTCCAAACAACCTCCCAGTTGCCCTTCTTTGACCCGATCGGTAAAAATCATTGGAGCCATCGCTTTTTGGGTGCGGAGAACCTGAAGAAAATGGGGACTTGAATCCGGCGCCTGCCATTGTGGGGTTCACCATTCACCATTTTAGTGGGCCCCGAATCCAACACGGATTTGAAGGGTAGAGTCCACTGAACTCCGAAAAGCCTCTCCAACTCACCCCACCTAGATGTTCAATGAACGCCAGCAACTACTTCGTGCGTGGGTCACAATGGTAGCGGCTGTCCCCCTTGCGAAAGCGCCCCGCGTGATTCGACCACTCCATGGCCCTCGAAGCCAAGCTTCTCCAGGCCCGCGTCCAGCAGGCCATTGGTGGAGGTCTCCAGCAACATGCGCTGCTGGGGGTCCATGGCCCTCGCCTCACCATCCGCCAAGGCGACACAAAAAACTTCGCACCAAGTGGTCCGGAACCGAAAACTTTTCCGGGTCCAGTTCTGAGGCGGGAAAATGGCGGCGCAATTTGGACCTGGCCGTTTTTTTGTACCTGTGCAAAGGTCAAGCCTGGCTCGGCTTGGTGGGTTTCCAAGGCAGACCCTTTTGCAGCTCCTAACAAAAAACTCCAAAAGCCGGCCTAGGTCCTGGCCTCTAGACCCACGATGGGGGCCACAGCCCATGAGCGCCCCAAACATCAGAAGCCTCAGGCCTCAGGGCTCTTCACTTTCCCAACATTTCCCAACAGACCCCCCCCCAAAAAAAAGAAGAAGAAGAAACCGCCCCGCGCAAGTTGGAGGAAGCAGCTGTTCCACCTGCTGCCGGCTTTTTGGCGGGAAGATGTTCGAGTATGGGGAACACTATGAGAAAATTCTTGGGGCTGCTAGGCAAGCTAGCATAGCGGGTGTGCAGGGGAAAGCACTTGAACACTAAAAGTGGAACATCTCTGTTTAGACCAGGAAGGCCGGCCTGGAAGCCTTCGGGAGCGTCAAACGGTTCCAGGCAAAGAATCATCGACCCTGCACTCAAGAAAACACATGCCTAGGCCCATTGTGGGCCTGAGCTGCCCGGAGGAACGCCTTTGTATAAACATGCCATCACATAGAGCTGTCAAGGGGCCCACCGACCCCGAACAATACGTGTGGTGACCCACCCAAAAACCTCCCCTTTCCGTCCGGATTCGCGGAACCGCGTCCTGCCGGCTCTCCGTTTGCTCCGTCTCCGCCGGTCCGCGCCTCGGGCGGGGAGATGCCGAAGAACTTGGCGTCGAAGAACTCCGCGCCCTCCACGAAGGCGCCGTGGCGCGGGTACCTGGCGAAAGCGGCGAGTCCCGAGTCCGGGAGAGCCAGAAAATGGAGGGATCCACCACGGGGAACGGGGAGAAAGAGAAAACGCGGGATCCAAGAAATGGTGGGAAACCACAGGGAGCAAAAGGCGGGTGGAGAAACCCGAAAAATGGGTTGGAAGCCAACCAGGACACAGGAAAACTGTGGTTTAACCAGCTAATTATTTTTAAGGCATGGCCCCTTGGTAAACACCCATAAAATCGGCAGCAAGCTTTCGAAAGGTCAACCCCGCCTTTCATGCCACCTGTTTTTTAAGAACCCACTCGGTACCACCAAGTCTTTGACCCTCCCCTCCCCTCCCCAACCACTCGAATCCGTGGGCCATCCGCCCCGACTCTCGACTCGTCTCGACTCCCGGCAGTCGGCGCTCGGACTTTCTCGGCCCGAAGGATTCGAGGCGCATCTTGCCCACGGCGTCGGGGTTGGGATCCCAGACCTCCTCCAGCTCCCAGCGAGTGAAGGGCACCTCCACGGAGCCATCCACGCCCTGGACGGAGCTGGCTGGATTTGAGGGCGAGCTGGGTGCCCTTGGGGCAGAGTTCTTTTATTTGTTTTAAAGGAACACCGGAACTGGAGAATCCAGCCATTTCAACCAATGGGCAACTTGGCTTACCCTCCTTGCAACAATCATGGAAGTTGACGGAAGGGCTCTGGAAGATGACATTCTTTTGGGGAAGACCCCTGTCCAGATCCATGATTGTTGGAGGGTAAACAACCAGACTCTGGCAAGTACCCCTTACGGAAACCAGCAGGATGTTGTGTGAAGGGGTGTTTGCGGCCAACTTTGGATGTTGACACGGCAGGTAAGTAGGTTGTAAGTAACCATGGCTAGATGTTCCTGGATACTCACTTGAACATCCAAGAAAGGCCCTGGAATTAAAAGGACAACCGGGCCAATTCGCTTGCAAGTCAGGCCAGAAGTGGGCAATGACCACATCCCAGCTGGAGGGGAACTGAGGTGCTGGGGATGGATCCAAGTCAACCCAGGCGGTGTGGCAACATGCTGCCAAAGACCTCGGCCTTCGAGCGTTTGCAATACGCCTCACTGCCTCACCCAATATGAATCCCAAAAAACCCAACAGTCAAGGGAAAAGCATCGCCGATTGGAGGAGCCAGAAAAAGGATGGGTCTGGCGCAAACCAAGCCTCCCAAACAGAGATCGCTCTCCAGGCGTTCGAAGACCCCATCAGCTCAAACAACATTTCGCCCAGTGCAAAAACCCTGGCCAACAAAGGGACAAACACGAGCCAGAAAGAAGATGCAGGGAATAACGAAAGTCAGACCCATGCTCTTCAAGTTCTCCTCCAACTCTCCACCTCTTCATCCAACCCCCCTTGCTCCCTCTTGCGCCTGCGTGATGGCACACTGGAAGGCAGCACTGGTTGCAGCAGCAGCTGGGAAGTACGATGCCTGGCAACTGGGGACGGAGCATGGCTGAGCTGGAATCAACACACAAATTGTCCAGAAGTGGGGTTGATCAATATTCCATTTGGGGTCCCTAAATGACCATGGGCAACTTTTACAATTCAGTGGGACATATCATATTTTTACGGGTTTTCCCCAATGGTCATCCCATGTAAAGCAACCCTTTTTGATCAACCCCCCAATTATCCATTCCTTTGCCGTTTCTGTTGAAGGCCACTGGGATTGGTTCTCGCAGTTCGCTTTGGTGCCCTGGAGGAATGTGCGCCATGCTTTGGCAGCTCTCTAATGTGTGGGACTGTCCCAAGCTCCTACTCGCACCTTGGAAATTTGTCGGCTGAGAGCTTTTATGTATAGAAGATGTAAGGAAATCAGTGGTTTGGGGGATGTGTGTTGTTTGCAAAGAAAAGTCTGACTTTCTCAGTACTCAGAAGAAAGATTCAGTGGACAAGAAGAGAGATGGGAATTGCTATAGGGCAGGCAGAAAGACAGTTGCACACCTGGGTACCCCTTTTTCGCTTGTGACTACTGTTGAGTGTTTCGGGTGGCCATGTTCCTACCTCCTTGGACATTTGTCGTCTGAGCATATAACGGATCTGTAAGGACATCGGCAGTTTGTGGGATGGGTGTCGCTTCCGAATACGAACAACTGCGGACACAACGAGCGACTACTTTTCCAGACGAAGCTCCATATTTTTCCAGACCAAAGAAATGTATTAGGTACCCCTTGTAATTTGGGGTTAGAGACTAATTTTGGAAGAAACAAAACAGTATTATATTTGGTTCCCTGTGATAAATCGGGTATCAACATTAAATCAATCGCAATTCCGCTGCATGGCGCGCGTGCGCACTTACTTTGCATGCTAGTCAACAGGTTTCTCATGGCTGGTAAAGCTGGGCTTGCTCGGCAACAACAGCTTCAATCTGTTTCTGCCGCCCTTGCACAAACCCTCTCCATGTGACAACGGCCCGAATCTTGACATTGGCCAAGGCGCCATTCCGGCGACAGAGAGCGGCTCATCCAATCCACCTCCGCTGACAGGGGCTCCTGCAAGCACTTGCCTTGGCTTCTGGCAGCCACCCCCAGTAGGGGGACAAAAGGGGAACTCCTTGTCTCCAACTTTGAGAAAACCGGCAGTGATGAGAAGCCAATTGAGACCAGTGCCATCTACATCCATATATTTTCAACTATACTGACCTGAGGATGCCAACGCATTCCCCAACAGCGCCATACTGTGGACAAAACATACAGTGGATAAAATCTTGCACCAGTTGGAATCTGATACCCACCAACTGGTGCAGGATCACTCCACTCTATCACCCCACCCTCACCCCATTTGCTCCTGCCACGGCGATCGGTGCTGCAGAGCCCAGCTGCTCTGAGGCGTATCCAGCCACGGAAGCGATGGTGGGATAGTCGAAGATTAGCCTCGCTTGGGTTGAACTCAACCCACGCCAGGTATTTAGGTTGCTCTAAAAAGGGCCTTTTTGGAAGAACCTTCCAGGGAAACCAATGCCAAAGTAAACCAATGCGAAACCGAAGTAAGCCATTGAGCCATGAAGCCACGAAGCCACTAAGCCCAATATTCTGGGCAAAAACAAAGGCAAACCAAAGGGGCACCACGCATGTTGGTTCCCTTTGACACGGCCCAAAACAATTTCAATTGGAATGGGGTTGCGCAGTCATGACCATAGGAGAAACATGTTGGCAACCATTTGCTCCCTCATAATACATATAAATATAACCCGAGGAGAAACATGTCATAGCATAATTAACGGAAACAGACTAGTAATCCATGAGAGAGACCTCTGATTACACCTGCAAACAGTTACACCTTTGTGGTTGAAAGGAAGAAACATCAAAAGGGTTGAAGAATTCAACCAGGTTACAAGCGTCCGGGGGTCGTTGAACCCTTTTTTGGGTGAACTGGTGAACATCCACTCGCTCACTGCGCCGATTTTCTCGGGGGCCCGGGCGTGTTGGGTAGGTCCAGCGAGGGCAGCTCCCCGGCCAAGCGGTTGCGGAACTCCACGGCGGACAGCGAGTCCATGCCTCGGCCGAAAATTCTGGGGGTTGGGTGATGGGAGGTTTGGGAGATGGGGGGTGGAGGGGGTATGGGGGTGGATGGGGGTGGAGGGGGGGTGGAGGGGGGTGGAGGGGGGTGGAGGGGGTGGATGGGGGTGGATGAGTTAGAGGACACCTTGCCCATCTTTTTTTGGTACGCGAGCGTGACCCCCACCCTACGCAAGAACAGCATTTTTCAACCATTTTTTCACTATTCAAATCGTCATCCTTATTCATTATGCATATTTCCACTCAAAACATTTCATAACAGTCTCAACCTCAAAATCCATCAAAAAAGTCACATTTTCTCATTTCTATTCCATCATTCTTGTCATTGTTAGGATGCTTGTGGGGAAATAGAAGTATAGGGTGGTTCATATGATATGGTTATTGATGGTAGGATGCATGGGCAAAGTTAAGCTCATTCATAAAAAAAAAATCAAAAAATAATATCTTCAAAAAACATAATAATTCAAAAAAAAAGTAATTTTCCAAAAATGATATTTTCAAAAAATAAATTTTCAAAAAATAAATTTTCAAAAATATTATTCCAAAAATTATGATAAATTATCTTACAATATTTTTATCATATTTTTTTTTAGAAATATTATGGGCAAGGTTAGGTAGATAGAATTTTATAACTTAAGTTCAGGATAATAATTCAATTGATAACCATTAAATTGTGTATATATCTTATCTCTTTCATGCATCATTTTAAAAATAATATTAATATTTCTGACGGTATTTATCATTTACAACTACAATTACAACGACAACAATAAGGAATGATATTTTCTATTGTATGAGTTAATTCATTATCTTTTCGTTGTGCTGTTAGATTTGTAATGATATTACCATTTTTCATATCAATAGTAAAACCACATCCGCAGTAATTGCATTGATTATTTATATTGTCTAAAAACCACTGTGTATTTACATAACCTTCTTTAGGTATGGTTCTTTTTGCTTTCCTGTCCTGTTCCTTGTAGTTTAATATTTTTCTTTCAAAATAACTTAAAATACATTTTTGATTAAATTCATCATCAACATCTTTTGTATATTTATAAAATTTGACTTTGTTTAAATCACGAGCACGTGTTACCGCTGTGAAAATCCATTCTGGATAATTCTTTACCAAAAAATGGTTATAATCAAAAATTGTTATGGTATCATCAATGCTACTGCCTTGGGCAGAATGACAAGTTGAGCAATATGCAAATATAAAATTGCTTCTTATTTTAGCAACTTCTACTGCTTGTAAAATTTCGGTTTTGACATTCTTTAATGTAAATATTCCATCGCTTCCAATATGAACTATTTTTTATTTGAAATTTACATTAAACACTGATGTTTTAGTTTTAGTATATTCCCTACATGTTAAAAATTCGCCTACTTCGTATTCATCTTTTCTATTTTCTAATTTTCTAATTTCATTTGAGACATTCTTACAAGTTGTATTTAAAAATGCTATGTTGTTGTTAGAATTGCTTATGTCATTTGTATATTCGAAATATTTTTCAATAACTTTCATAATATGTAATTTATTTTCAAAAATATCAAATTTAATATTTCTTAGTTTATCCTTATCTTCCTGTGTGTTAAGTCTCTTACATTCTTTTAACAAAATATTATATTCAAAAATGTTATCTATAATATTATCAGTATATAATTCATAGTCTCGAGTATTTGTTATTTCTTGAACTGGTTTTAATTGCTTGGTATCTCCCGTTGCTATCATAATTTTGTTGTGTTTATTCTGCTCTACAAATTGTTTGATTCTCCAATATATATTTAAATTACTGAAATAAATTTCATCAAATACGATTACATCAAATTCTTTAAAATCAAATGGTTCTAATTTTGCATCACCGTAATTTATTCCAAAAAACTTATTTATAGTCATTGCTTCACCTTCAAATGCCTGTAATAATTTATTAGTAGGACAAATAAATATCACCTTATATTTTTTATCAACCATTTTTTGACATATATATGATTTTCCTGTGCCCGGTAGTTCGCCCCTGATCATAATAGGGTTATTCTGTTTAACAATCTCTATAATGTTATCAGTGTCGTATTCATCTTTAATATCAATAGTTTTACTTTCATGAACTGGTATTTTTATTAGATCATTCTTAGCAACTTCATATTTTACAGTAGGAAGATTAATTTCTTCGCCTTGTTTTGAAACCTTCCAACCACCTATATCATTATGAAATTCTAATAATTGCTTTGCTTTCTCTACATTGTATGAATCAATTACAAAAGCATCGGTTTTCACACTATATACATTAATATCGTTGACTATTAATTTGTAAATGTCTTGGTTCATTTTAAAATTATGATGTTGCATGAGTAGTTCTTTAATATATCTATAGCCGTTTCTTAATATTGCCTTATCCCTTAATTTTAATATATAATATGATGCTTTTATATTTCTTTCATCTAGTTCACGTGTATACTCTTCATACTCATCCTCATACTCATCCTCGCGCTCTTCGTCTTCTGTACCTATACGCGATAACCTATGAATTTTCCCCTCTATCTGTGATAACTTATGAATTTTGCCTCCGTATTCTGTTTGATAATGGATTGCTTCATCAATACTCTTAAACAAAATGCTTTGATGCGCGGTAGCCTCTCCCTTCTCTAATAATCCAAAATTGACATTTGCTATTAATTTTTTACTTAGTATATCTATGTCCCTATCATCATCATCATCATCATCATCATCATCATCATCATCATCATCATCATCTTCATATATAGTAGTTTTCCAAAGTTCATTAACCATATCCTTATAGTTTGTTTTATGAATAAACGAAGGTTGTTTATAATATAATACTTTAATATTATATTGATTAATAAACTTTTTTTAAAAACTTACCATAAACTAAATTATATTTTTTATTAAACATTAAGCCCTCTTTATTCCCCAGTAACGCGTTTGTCATTATGAATTCAACTTCTTCTTTTGATTTAATTTTTAAACTTTCCTCCAAAAGATGTTTACGTTTAATACGTTCCATACTGTATTTATTTGGTATATTCGGACAGTCAACTTCAATATAATATAATGTTAGATCGTGGAGTTCATCAATATTAATTGCATCATTGTATTCTTTCCAATTGTCAAACTGATTAAAAACTGGTATTTCAGTAATATCTATGAAACCTTTTGTAAATGCCTTATTTTCATCAATTTCAGTTTTACGCATTAAATTAAATTTATCCCATAATAATCCCGAAGGCGCTTGAGTCCTTGTTTCGTTTAATATTTTTATATCAATGTCATTATAAAAAGATTTGTGAGATAAAATAAATAAAGATTTATTAAAATTAAACATTGCTTTATTCATATTGTTGTACATAGTTTCATTATCTGCTGCGAACCAACCATCGCTGGATGATTTAATTAAATTTTGAGTTTTTATGATATATGTTATCTTGTTAAATTTGACTCTAATTTCATCAATAATACCTGTGTATTTAATTCTGGGTTCATATCCAATATTTATCAACTGGAAAATATTTCCGCCAAATCATTATCTTCGGGCACTAAATATACTTCCCTTGTTTTATCATCAGTTTTTATTTTGAGTATATCATCTATACATTTAATCATTTTGTATTGCGGGGGTTCCTCTCTTTCATTTATATAATAATCAGTGTGTGCCTTTATAGTGGGTAGTTTTGATATTACTTGTTTTTGTTGTATTTTGCTTAAATCGTGGTTTAATGTATAAATATGGTTATTTTTCACCATAGCGTAAAATGTTTTAATATGACGGTTTCTTATTTTTGGGTTATATTTGTAAATAAGTTCATTTACAAAATTAAAAATTCTAACTTGAATATTAAACTGCTTAAATACTGCTTCCATTTCTTGAATGGTTGCTCCTACTTCCTTAAAATCATTCCTACCTATGATTTCAATAATTTGATCTCTGGTTAGTCTGTTGCGGGTTCTTTCATTCATGATTGTATCACTGTAAAAATCAGTTAATGAATTTATCCAACATTCATTTTTAATATAATTGCCTTGTTTAATTGCCTTTCGTATAGTGTCCTCACTCATTTTTAAATGTGTATATATATATGCATGGAAAACGGATACGTTAGATGCATCTCTTAAATTTTCTGCTAATATATCAAACTTTTCACCTGATTTATTCATCATCTCCACGGACAATATTTTTATACCATCTAAGCCATATTCCTGATTTTCTAAATGTTCCACGTGTTTGGCAAACTCCTCGTCGTGTTTCATTATTTTTATTATTTTTGTAAATTCTGGATCTATTTGTTCCGTCTCTCCAAAATCAGTATCCATCGAAACACCTGTTTTTTTCAAAATTCTCTTGCGGATAAATTCCTTAGGAAATTCTTCTCCTACTATTTGAACTGTAGCACTTAATCGCTCATAGTTCCAAAGATAATAATACTTACCAAATGCTTTAAAAGCGGGTTTTGATTTCATTTTCTCCTTATCACCAATTATATAAAGGTCATACATAACAAAATATGTATTTCTCTTCTTCCTTCCTCTTTTCTTATATTCTTTGCCTTCTTCTTCTTCCTTCTTCGATCTTGTTTCTGTCATTCTTTGATTTAGTGGTTTTGTATCCTTGATCTTTTTGATATTATCTTTGTATTTTTGAAATGCTTTGTCATAAACCTTTTTATCAGTAGATGTTAAACCTTTGATATAATTTTCTGCAGTTGCTACATTTGATAACTTCCTTTCAGTATAAAGTTTAACGATCTCATCAACCCTTTTTTTAGTTGCATTATTTGCGTTCTGTGTTGAATTTCTTTTGAGTTTATTTAACTCGTTGATATTACGTTGTAAAAACTTACTCATACTATAATCTATATATTTATATTATAAAAATATTTCTTTAAATAACTTTTTTACAAGAAAACTTTTTATAATAAAAATTCTATATACTTTTTTAAACTTTTAAAATTTCAAATCTTAAGAATGG